TGTATGTGAAAGTTATTTTCCTTCAGGTAGAACGCCTATCAGAAGGATACATGGCAGTGATGGGGCAAGCTAGAAAAGCAGCTGGATTACAAAACTAAGTGTGAACACAGGATGGGTGGGCATCCAGGTTATATCAGAAAATAAAAGCAGATCTAGGCTCACCATTGTTTCCTTGCTGGAATGGTCTTCCACCTTTGCTAAACTGTTACTCATTTTTCAGAACCCAGTTCAAGCAATACTTCTTTTATGTTAATGTCTTCTGATTTAATCATTCCATCTCTGCTGCTCCTTTAGCCTTTTGGATATACCGCTAACAGTACTTTCACTCTGTAAAGAATTATGTATATCTTTGGAAGTTCTTTAAGGGCAAAGACCATTTCTTCTTTATCTCTGTATCTCCCTCCCACCCATCACCACTGGTACATGGCCGGTGTCAACAGTGTTTACTGAGCTGACCATAGGCAAGAAACCAAAATCAAGAAGGAGGTAAATGCCAGAAAGTTTCAACAGAGTAAAAATGGAGGGACAGTGCATACTCAGTGCAAAGGGAAACGGTGGCAGGCATGGAATCCAGAGAGACAGTGTCACTAGAGGCCAGGCTCAGAGGTAGGAATCAGAGAACCCGGCAGGGCCCTGGTCCCGGAAAAGTGAGGGAATGAAGAGGGCAGGGGCACCACACTAAGGCCCAGTGACCACAACAGGAAGGCTTGGGAACAATGAACAAGGTCAATGTCCAGAACTCAAAGAACAGAGCCAAGGCAAGGCATCAAGCCTGGAGCTTACAGATTTGTGAACACGCCCAGGTCTACCAAGCCAAGCTACCAGGTAGGGGTTAAGTTACCCCAGAGCAAAAACCACACAGATGTCCCCAGCTATGAAAATCAAGAGGCAGGAGTCAGGCTAGTCATTACAAACTGAAGTAGTGATCATTTCCTTGACATAAACCCAGAGACGAAGGAACTCACAGATCTGTAAGAAACATTAGGAATCATCTAGTCTAACATCCTCAGCCCACACATATAGAAAAACTAAGAACGGAGGAAAGGGGCCAAATTCACTCATTAAGGCAGGATTAAAGTTAGAACCCAGGTCTTCCAACTGACAATCTAGTTCTCATCCCCTCTAAGTCTGTTTATCTTCGGTCAAAGTTTCTAGATTGTTCCAGTAATACACCAGGTGGCCAACTCCAGCTGCTTGGGGAGTCCCCCAGAGCACCCCCCAAGTGAACACCAGCACTTCTGCTCAACCATGGAATGTAGCTTTCCATGTATGGGCAGAGTTTAAAGTCAATCGACGTTCCACAGGGAATGTATAGGTCCCAGCCTCACCTGAGGCTTAAAAAGCAAGAGCTGCAATGGCCTATGTTGCTTTTGAGCAGCACATAAACCATAAACTCGCACACACTGTCCTGACATGGGCATGGGAGAGTCAGTTCTAATCACAGCGCTACCCTTGGAATTGTCCAGCAGTGGCTACAAGCCCAGTAGCTAAGACTAAGCTCATAGTATATGAAACACACTATTTTCACCATTCTTGTTGTCATTGTTTAAGTGCTGTCAAGTCGGTTCCAACTCACAATGACCCTGTAGAGTGTTTCTAAGGAGCAGCTGGTGAGTTTGAAGGACTGACCATGTGGTTCACGGTCCACTGCTGATCCTACAGAGCCCCACCTGGACTCAATTTTACCACTGTAAGAATATTAAATAACAAACTGGAGATGAGACACAGCTCAGAAGGAAAGAAGTGAGAATCCAATTCCAGACTTTCAGAAGACTTACATCTTGGTAAGGAGACATATAAAAGTATATGGGAAGATAACCTGTCGTTTTACCCCAGGTATACAGAGAACGTGAGCTTCTTCCAGTACTTCAAGTCCCAGTCCCACTGCTTACCTACTGTGTGATCCTGGACCAGTGAGTTAACTATTCTGAGCCTTGGTCTCCTTGTTTAGAAAGCAGTGATCACAGTCCCTGAACACAGGTTTATTGTGAAGATGAAATAAGATAACATGTATACAGCATTTAGTACATTGCCTGGCCCACAATAAGCACTAAATAACGTTGTGTTTGTTCTTGTATGTGCAGAGGAAGGAATGGTTATACCACAGTGCAGCTGTCTGTGCTTTCCCTTCCCATGTGTCCATCCCCTCTTGACCCTTCTGTCCAGATACTCTAACCCTGCTTATTCCTTGGACATGGAAAACTGAGTCAGCTTATGGGCCACACTCAGATCCTTGAAGGTCAAGAATCATCAAGTTAGAGCACGGCTGTTTCTATCCCCCCTAGGGGCCATGCCTCTCCCCTGCTCAAGCCCTTGATTAGAGTAGACCCTAGTTTAGTAAGGCTCTTGTCTTTTTCAAGGTAAACCCACTCCTAGAAGCTGATAGCTACCCAATGGCCTGCTTCCATCTTGATCTCCACAAGACCTTATGGTTAGCAGTCCAGTGTTTATCCTACAACAAACAGATTCCTAACAGATAGGCCATACTTGGTCATCAACAGCTGGAGATAATCCCCAAACTCAATTTACTAACAATAAACTGAATCTGCAGTGAAACCAGAAAATATACACCTCCAGCGAATGGGAACAGAGCACTGATACAAAGCTACTAAGGGACTCAAGGCTCAAGCTGACTCTTCATATTTCCCTGCTAAGAAACTAAATAAAAGTCACATCAATAGCAGGCTTTGGGGCTCTGTGTTTGCATTGGCCATGTGTGTCATAGTGTGACACACTGTAGCTACTACCATGTAGCATTAAGAATCTTCAAAGAGAAAGAAGAGAAAAGAACCAATAGCTACCAAGGGCCTACTGCATGCTAAGAACTTTGCATTCAATCCTCACGGGTGACCATATGTGCTAGGTATTACTCTCCTTACCTTGGCAATTAACCCAGAGACTCAGAGCTACCTATGAAGACTCCATGCCTCCACTATGCTACCCAAATACAACGTTTTAAATGGTCTGGACATAACAATACCTTGGAGGCTAGGATGGCCAAACTTCATCTCTCATACTTTGGACACATTGTCAGGAGGGGCCAATTGCTGGAGAAGGATATCATGTTTGGCAAGGTGGAGGGTCAGAGAAAAAGAGGAAGACCTCCAGCGAGACGGATTGGCAAAGTGGCAGCATCAATAGGCTCAAGTGTGGCAACAATTGTGAGGTTGGCCCAGGATCAGGCAGTGTTTCATTGTGCTGTGCATAAGGTCACTACGACTCAATGGCACCTAACAACAACAAAATACTTCCTTACAGGCACTCTCAGCACATTAAGTAGACAATACTAGTTTATACTAGTTTAAATACTATATTCCCGCATTCACATTTGGTCGTAATCAACTTCTTTCAAACAGACCCTTAGAGATGTATTGTTATTTGTTTGTTAAGTGCCATCAACTTGTTAAGTGGTTCGATTCATAGAGACCCTATATAGGGTTTCCAAGAAGTAGCTGGTGGGTTTGAACCACAGACCTTATGGTTAGCAGTCCAATGTTTATCCTACAGCAACACACCAGGACTCCTAGAGATGCAGAGCAAGATAAATATACAAGGTGGCTTCAAAAACTTTGTGGGAAAATGGAATTGAAAGATAATAAAATTTTCCCATGAACTTTTTGAAGTTCCCCATGTACAAATACCTTAAGTATGTTCATTACCTTTATCCCTGTAATATCATCCCCAAGACTATATCTTAAGGAAAAAGATCAACCAGGTATTCAACATTCAAAGAATGGTTTTGAAAATTCCAGAATCTTCAAATCATATAATGTTCTAGACCCATTTAAAATGATCATTTTAAAGACCAAGAGGAAACAAAGCTAAGCATTTATGACTAAATGAATGGAAACTGAATACAAAACATCACAAGTGCTATCACTACAGCTCTGTAGAAGTCTGCATGTGATTGTGCTATGGTACTAAGGTTACTGCGGTTTTATTATTATCACCAAAGTAAACTGTCCTTGTGGTACTGTTCAGTACACTTTCACTTTCAGAAAAGAGAAAGAGAAAGAAAGACAGACTCACCCCAGCACTGAGGAAGAGCCCAGGAGGGCCAGGACTGGGAAGTGCAGCCCAAATCAAGAACCGTCCTATATATCTAGGAGGTGGAGGTCAGGCAGGCCCTTGGGGAAGGGAAGCCCTCTAGGTAGGGAGAGGGCTGTAATTAGACTGGTGCTAATTACAGAAGTCTCTCTAGCTTATTAATTTTTGCGACAGACTCTGAATGAAGACTGAATTCCTTCATTAAGCCAACTTGGGTTCAGACTTGGAACATTTCCTGTATGGCCATCTTCGTTCTTCTAAAAAAATCTCTTTTCTTTTTTTTTTTTTTTAAAGGACAACAGTAAAGTAAAACTTAGTAACAAAAACACCCTCGAGAAATTAAAACTCCTGCTTGAAACGCAGAAATTCAAAGCATTTCAGGGAACCAAATGACTTGAAAAAGCAACTGAAGGATAATGTTTTCCACATTGGGACATATAACAGACGTGCAAAATCGTTAGCTTAGTATTAGAGGCCCCCTTGACCAGGTTGCTACAGATCTTTCTGATATTACCTTATTTTCTCCCTACAAGCCCCATGCTTCAGCCAAACTGAACCACCAGTGGACTCCCGAAGAGCTTCTTCACTTTCCTACCCACACAACTCTGTTCCAGCTGTTGCATCTACATGAAAATTCTCTCTCAAACTGCTTACCCACGTCTGGCTGCCCTTCCTCCAAGGCACAGCTCAAAGCCATGTTCTTCTCCAAGCCTAACCCAACCTCTATACCCTGAATTCATTTCTCTCTTCCAAGTGAACCCAGAGCACTTAGAACCTCTCTAAAGGTTCAAAGTTAACACATAGTCTGTCTTATAATATAGTTACCTAAGTGACTGCCTTATCTACCATTGTTAACCTTTAGATTCCTAGAGGGAATCTATCATAATGCCTGGCACATAGTAGGTCCACAGTAAATGCTTTACTGGAAGACAGGGAAAACAGATGCATCCTACCTCAGTTGCTCCCATTAAGCAATGCAGAGATGAAGGCATGCTGCTCCGTGGTCTCAAGCAAGAGAGGGATGAACCCTGCTTTTCTCCTTTCCAGTCTTCATAGGCCTCCACCTTCCTCCCCAGTTGACCATAGTCTGCTCGGCCCCAGGTAAACACCTTGCCAGTTTCTAAAATCAAACATTATTTAAATTAAGACTGCATTCCACAGCTGTGCTCTCAAGGGCAGGCAATGAATTACAAAAGAAAATGCAAATATGTATTTTAGTGCCAACTACTCACCAGTGGCTGCTCAGAAACCCTGTACAGGGTCTCTATGAGTCCGAACTGACTTGAAGGCACTTAACAACAACAACAACTTGGGATCTGGAGTACTGCTGTGGCACTGTAGGATAAACACTGACCACAAGGTCTTAAATCACAAGGCTAACAGTTCAAACTCACCTGTACAGGGTTCACTGTGAATTGGAACTATTGGGCGGCACTTAACACAGCAACAATTTTGGTTTTAATACATACCAAAAATCTCATCCTCCTCCTAAAAAGACAGTACAAGTGCTCACATTTATACAGATGTGAAATTGAAGTTCAGGAAGGTTGCTTTACTTGCCACAAATCAAATACATGATGAGTATCAAAACTGAACTCAGAAAACTATTTGACTCTAAGGCCTACACTCTTATATTTTTGTTGTGATTGTTGTTAAGTGCCATCAAGTTGATTCTCACAGCGACCCTGTATAGAGTTTCCAAGGTGCAGCTCGTGAGCTTGAACTGCCGACCTTGCAGTTCAAATGGCTTTGCAGTCTGGCACATTAACTCACAGTGCTAGGGCTATGACTAGAGTCCCAGGATAGTGCAGTTAAAATGCTGGACACTAATGAAAAGCTTGGAGGTTAAATTCACACAGAGGCACCTCAGAAGAAAGATCTGACAGTCTACTTTTGAAAAATCAGCCATTTAAAACTCTATAAAGGACTCTAGACTCAGGGAAAGAGAAAGGCTGTGTGCTGGTGGGCAGGAGCTGGTGACCAGGAGGCAGGCTTGCAGAATGTGTCCTTTGGTTGTTTAAATGATTATATATATTCCTGAGTGTTTTTGTGTACATATCTCCCACCCCACCCCAAAAAAACAACAACAGATGGAATAGAAGCAAATACTATCGAATGATGTTGCAAGCAGGAAACTGTAATTATTACAATGAAACAGTGAGTATAAAACTGATGTTCCCCCATGTAAAGTCTCACACAATTCACAAAACCTCACAAAAATAAAAAAACTCTATGAAGCATAGTTCCATTCTGACACATGTGGAGTCCACATGAGCAGGGACCAACTCAGTGGTTATGAATATAACTGTAAGTAAAACTTCAGCTATGTTGTATGACTTTTCCCTGAAGCCCCTCCCTCCTTATGCTTTGTTCTCAGACCCCTGTCTCCCATACAATCCAGGAACCCCTTTAGCCACCCAAAAGTTCCCAGGCTCCTGACTTTTCCCCAAACCATAATATTTTAGGGCCTTACTCTTAACCCAATGAATGGCCAGTTTCATGGGATTTTCCCCTCCATGTAATGTAAGAGGACCTTTCAGAATCTACATCGTTACTCAAAGGATCAATTCTAAAGTCCCAAAGCAAGTGTCTCTGTGCGCTAAAGAAAAGGGAATGAAAGAGGAAGAAAAACAGAATCATTTGGAGCCAGGAAAACATTCAGTCCCCCAGATGCAACACACGGGATGCTGGCCAGTGATAAAGACGGTGGGTAAGAAGTAGTTTGGAAAAAGAGAAATGGTCTCTCTTCTCCCAGATGAAGAGAAAATTTACCACACTCATTCAGTTGTACCAAGTGCCACATTTGTTATTTCAACAGAAATGCAAAATCCGATGAAGCATAGATTATTAACAGATTCTCTGTAATAAATATGCATAACCATGTGCGCTGTATAAATTCTTTATACATGTTTATTTTAACAAAGAAAAACTTTGCTTAAGAGACAAAACACCAAGTAATGCATATTAAATTCTAGACAAATCTACTACATGCTCTGTGTATAGTATCAAAGCCTCATCTGGCCCCACGTTCAACATATGGTTTATAGTGTCAGCTAATAAACAACCAGAGAGACTCATGAGGGAAATGTCAGAATACTGCAGGGATAAAGAGCTCTACAGTTCTTGGGATCAACCTGCTTGTGGACACCAACTAAGATCCCAAGCAGTTCACAGGAATCTGGCTCCTGGACTTTCTCAAAGAGGGAGCAAGATGCAGTCAAGAAGTTCCTGATATATTAGGATTATTGGGAGTGGGTCCATTAAGATTTACTATTCCATGCCTTTGTATGTGATTACTGTGACCATGGATGCACTTTCCTTACCTTATTTACCTGGTAAACTATGGCTCAACCTTAAAAGTCCAGCTCAAGCATCACCAGTTCTGTGAATTTTGTCTTGAGTTCCCAGCTCTTCCCAGAAAGGGACACCCACCAGCCTGTGAGTCAACTCTACTCCTGTACTCATCAACTACTATGCTAAATGCTGTGATCTGAGCTTTTGTAAGGCAGAGTCCACATCCCTAGAAAACAGCATAGTATTTGGCACACTGTGAATGTGTCCAAGAAGTGGAAAATTATATCTGAAAGATAAAATCAAATCAGCAACAACCTATCAAGTATCTTCTGAAGGTACTTTTCCTAAACCACTGTTAATACAAATTACTTGGCTGCTGGAGGTAGAGGGAGGGCTTCTTTTATCACTAGCCCACTTTTCTAACACTGACGGCCCGAGGGAGGCAGGGATTTTCCCACAATTACATGCTGGTTGGTGGCACCAGTGGGACTAGCTGTGGGTTTCTTGACCTCATGGGCATGCTACTAAGTTGCCTCTTATGATAAAGCACAGTTCCTGTTGCCAAGGATCCCTTAATTGTGTTGAGGACATGAGTTATGGGTACATATCAAGTTATACACAATGAGAATGGCAGAGGTAGGAAACTGAGGCCCTCGTGCCTGATATCGAGTAGGTGTTGTGTAGTTTAAAGGTGTGGATTAATGTGGGTTAATGCGCTAGACTACAAAGAAGTTTTGAACTGCAAGGTCAGCAGTACAAGCTCACCAGCCACTCCTTGGAAACCCTATACAGGGTCGCTATGGGTTGGAACCAACTCGACGGTCCTTAACAACAACTGTCTCATGCATTGTTTCATGTGAGTGCCAGTGAACAGTGACTGGTGCCGAGTCTACTGGTACCATTTAACAGCAGAGAAACTTAAGGTTCAGGAGTGACCTGACCAGGTCCATACAGCTAAAGCACATCTCCTTCTACTATGCACCACTCTGCATTGGGTGATGATGACATTGGTCCCTGTCACTGGATAATCATGTTCTTCCTTCACTTCTGTAGGATTGCTGTTGTTGTTATGTGCTGTGGAGTCAGTTCCGACTCATAGCGACCCTGCATAGGGTTTTCGAGGCTATAAATCTTTAAGGGAGCAGAAAGCCTCATCTTTCTCCCACGGAAGAGCTGGTAGTTTCAAACTGCTGTCCATGAGATTAGCAGCCCAATTCGTAACCACTACACTACCAGAGCTATAGGATTAGACTGTGAAAAGTTCATGTGCCGTGGACCCTTGAAACATCCAAAACAGGAAAGCTGTCTGTCCCTTTATCTGAGCTTGATAGGATTTATAACCAGTCTGTCTTATAAGCCAGAAGTTAAGACTGCTACTTCTTAAAATGGCCTTAGTATTCCTCTGCTGGGAAGAACTGGCAAGTCACTATTGGTAAAACTACACAAAGAATTATGTTATCACAAATTCCACAATGAATCCTTGCTTTCACATCAAATAAAACCTCTTAGAACTTCCTGTGCTATTGATTATTGATGTCCATGACAGGCAAGACTGCCAGAATGTGGTGCCACTGTTATTACATCTCCAATAGCAATTCAAGCATTCCACTTACATAGCACTTTTCACCCTCAAAGCACTTCACAAAGATTAACTAATTAATCCTCATATTCCCTGGGGAGGCCATAGACGTTCTATTAGAGACAAGCTCAAAAACCAGGCCGGCTTGATGTCAGGCTTTCAGTCTCCAACCCAAGTGTGGTCAGTCAGGTAAGCGCATTCTCTGAATCTGTCTCCCCTCAAATATACTCGGCATCAGAAAGCTCACAAGGGATAAAGGAGGTTCTTTGTTTTTCCTTTTCTTTTAAAGAGACATATGTTGACTGCATCCAACGTGCCAGGCACTTTCATAGGCACTATTTCAATCCTCATAAAAATTCAGTGAAGTATAGATTATTAAATTTATTGTACAGATGAGGTTACATAACTTTAGAGATTAAATGATTTAGTCAAGTTCAAACAACCAGCAAGTGGTAGAATTAAGAGTTAATTAAGTTTGTGTCTTTTGAGTCCAATGTTTTCGTCAATGACTGCTGCTCTCACAAGCTGAAGAAACCTGGCTGATGAAACAATCATTCTTACAGTTTGTGAAGAAGGAGAATCAGATTAGACAGACAAGCTCTGTGCTCTGTACCACGCCAGTTTCCCACAATGGGAATCCTGTTCAGGAGGCCATGCATAATTCAGAAATAAAGGCCATAATGTAATGGATTACAACGGTAGGCCACATGGAAGAAAAAAATAATGACTATCTTTAAAAACTCTCATTAATGCATCATAGAGAAAAGTCTGTCTTAAACTGAAGCACACTGTCAAATCCAAGCAGTTTCATATCACAAATTTAGCAAATGAATCGTTTCCTTAGAGTAAAGAACTTAGAGTTAAGAATTATATATTACTGTTATAAAAAATAGGTATATTAATGTCATCCAAAAAGTATAGGCAAGTGTCTCCAGATAAATGATAAATGGGAGAAATGACAAAATAGCTCAAAATAAAGTCAGCAAGTAAAATATCACTTAATGGCAGGTCCGTGTGAGAATTAACATAGAGTATCTAGAGATCCAAGAAGTATACCTGCCAAAAAGTCTCAATGCAAATCAGAATATTAGAACAGGGGTCGCAGGAGTAGTATTGACAAAGATACTTTAGAAGTTTGGAGGAAGCATTTCAAGCTAGAGTTGTCCTGACAGCGTAGATAGAAAAGTAGCATTTAAAGTGAACTTCTGTTGAAGGACAGAAAAAGGGAGAGTGAAGGAGGATAATGC